ATCATGCACAGCAAAATACATGAGCCCAAATACCTGCTAACCTTTGAAGGTCATGGATAGCTTACTGTTATCTAGTATAAATTTGGCTTTATGCTCACATGATATATTTTGCTCTGCTTCTGATTTGAGTCTTGAGGCAAGTCTTCAATCCAGCTTTAGAAGGAGAAACTGCTGCCATTTGTGAATGGAGTTAATTAGAATAACATTTACTTTTAAATATTCAATATTTGGCATGATTATCAGACCTAAAGGTTATGTTGTTCCATCTGATAATCTGGGCTCCAAGGGATGTCTGTTGTCTCCCCAGACTGGTGCTGGCTAAATATAGGAATCTGAGATGGTTAGGAATAATTGCCTTAGATATTAAATCTGCTCATTTTAATGATGAAGCTTAAATTTTACATGGTTTTTCTCTTTACGGACAACTGATTTGTTGCTTGGAAAATTTCTTGGAAAGGGCAGGAGGTAAAGGTTGATTTCTTTGAGCACATTGGGAGCTTTAATTGGTTGAAGTAGGTGTTTCTAGAGGAAGCAAACCCTTTGGTTTGGGCAAAGGGTATTTGATTTCTACTAGAGACTGGCATGTGCTCCTATGTGCAGACTGAAATGTCCATTGAAAAGAAACTCTCCATAGACAACACAAACCTATGCCCCACATCACCAATCAAATGAGTCTATGTATCTGAACTGCTCAGAGCAAATTTGTCTGTCTGGGAGTAACTTCTGCCCTCTTCTTAAGGGCATGCTGATGAAAACAGCAACGTGCTAATTTACAGAGATGGAGGTTCTGTGTTATTTAATGCAATTCATCAGGTGGAAATGGTATGGGAAGCTATCATTTCACTCTTTAACATAATCGTCTGCTTTAGAAAGAAAAATAATGAATGTGTTTATTTGGTAGGAGGTTGAAAAAAAAGTGGAAACCAGTGTGGGTTTCTGCTTCAGGCTGAATTTCTAAGTTATTTCCCCCCTGAGGAACTAACATGTACTGACAATTTCACTCAGAATCTGTAGTTCATTGTAAGAGATGAGAAATGCATGAATAATATTAGTGATAACGCTCCACAGGGCCAAGGCTCATGAATAGTTTTAAAAGGAAACCCTGTTTGATTTGATGGCTTCATACATCATGCTCTGGAGGAAGAATCTTGGTGTTCTGGGTAACTTCTGCTTCAAATTTTTGGCTAAAATAAACTGTTTCTCATGAATTCAGTTTTCTATCCCCTTTCCTTTGATCCTATCCTAGTGAGAGATGAGAGAAAGCTTTCAAAACTACTTACTGATTAAGAAATTATTTTCTTTCCCTTTGACTGATGTCAAAATTTCTGAAACAAAATATGACAAAGTTTGATGGTCTTAAATTTGGCTAGTCACACACCTGTTAAATTAGGCTTCTACACTTTGCTGTAGACATCTTCCTGCAGGGTAGTAAGTTTGGAAGTTTGATATCTGTGTTTATTCAGCAAAATTTCATTGAATTTATGTTCTGTGGATCGCATAAAATTATTGAAATCTTTGACAGACCCCCTCAAAAATGTAACAGGCTAACTGGTGTTAGCCTCAAATTCCAAACTGTCACATCTGCTGCATTCTGTTGTTAAAGCAAGTCAACACATTTAGTCTAGATTCATATGGAGAGGATGGTCCAACATTGAACACTCAGAGGTATGGCTTACTGGGAGCACTATTGTTATTGAAACCACAGTTGCATGTACAGTGGACTCTCAAGTTATGACCAGCCTGACATATGAATTTGGGCTAATTAGGTTAATGGAGAATTTATCTACCTCTTGTTATCTATAGTATGTATCCAGGTAACCATCCAGATCTCAGCTGTATTGATTTAGTTACAACCAGTCCTTGGGAACCAATCGATTTCATAAGTCAAGGGTCCACTATATCACTATGGACCACTGTTATAGGGCAGATCACTTATGCTAAACCACCAGCCAATTTATAGGCAAATGCTTCTCAGTAGCAATCTGATTCTGGCTCTTTTTAACTATGACAAAGATGGTTGGGAGCACCACCACGAAACCTCCATTAAGCATGAAAACCTACAGTAAGACATTCCCCCCTGGTAGCTTTATTTATTTATTTTTTTCAGATAGACATTAATAGCAGCAGGTGTTCAGAACGTCATGAATCTCCTTAGTAATGACAATGAGCCTGCAAGTTAGTTCTGATTTAGATCTCAGAGAACACTTGAGTGTTAAATCCTAGAGATTAAGAGGAAACTGACTGCTGCAGAATTTTTTCTAAAATGTATCCAGAATTTTTGTTGTGGTTATTGCTACTAGTTTTCACCCCTTTGGGAAATCAACAGGGAAGATACACTAATGGGACCCAAGAATTCTATTCTTGGAATATTTTCTCAACTCAGGTTGGCTACACTGATACACAGGAAGAAATAATGCATGTTGATAAGCCAATTAATGTTACTACAGCTTAATTGGTGGGAAATGTAAGGTCAGATTCAAATATACTCCAGAACAACATTCTGTATGTGTGTGTGTTTTTTTGTTTGTTTGTTTTGGTGATTCACTGGAGGGACACGTTTGTATTTATACCATAGAATTCCCAGTACATTGATGCAGCTGCACCTCTTGCCCCTACAAGTAGGTGAATTGGAATGAAAATGTGAGAGATACAGATTGTAAAAGAAATAACTTTAATATATGGATTATATATGTTTCAACAAGTCACTGGGAACCTCCGCCACAGCTGTTGCTAGAGGCAAAACAGCACAGCAGATAGGACAGCAGGATCCAGAGTCAGCCTCCCCATATGTGATTCCTTGTTTCAATTATTTACAACTGTTTTCAAACTTCAGTGTGTAGAAATCACCCGAGAATGTTGCTAATTGGCAGAGACACAGTCAGCAGATTGAGGGTGGGCCTGAGATTCCACACCGAGAATGTTGATGATACTGGTGGTCATGGGTCGCACTGAGAGTAACAAAGTCTCACAAATATCTACATTTGGACCTCTTGCCCAAAGTACTTGAGATAGATACTGTCTATCAATAGAAAAAGGATGGAGAAAGAACAGAGGAAACAAACCTCAATCCTTGACCTTTAGGTAACTATTTTCCCTGGGGGAGGGGAGAGACAAACAACAAAGCATAATCATAATAAACAAAGTATGTAAGGAGATGTTAAATGAAACAAAGAAAAAGTAAGCAAAAGTAAGCTGTCAGGGGCAGTTTTTCACTCACACTAGTCTATCCCCACACAAGTTTTGTTTTTCATTCCTTTGATAAATGCTGAAGACCTCCCGTGGGGCAGAGACACTTGGTTCCTGAGAATAGGAACTGAAGGAAAGTGGTCTCCACTTTCTCACAGCTTACGTCTCTCACTCATTCTCAGTCCTACACCACACTGAGCATATAATGTCATTCAGGCACTTCTCAGATGGTCCCAATGATCTCCCTCTGGTGTTCACATCCATATGAAGAATCCTCCCCATTAAAGTGGGCTGAATCTAGTGACTTAATCCTAATGAATAGAACCTGGCAAAATCTAGGGGATGTCGGTTTGAGATTAGGTTATAAACCACACCTCAACCTTTCTCACACCATCTTGCTAGTTTCTTTTTCTGAAAGCCACATAACCAGAAGCTGGTGAGGACCTAAATTCTGCAGACTGCTGAATGAACTTGGAAGTAGACCCTTCCCCAGTAGAGCTTTGAGACTACTGCACCACTGCTGACTGGGTGATGACAGACTTGTAGGAAACCCTGAGACAGAAGACCCTCCTGGCTCAAAATAACTGAGATAATATGTTTAAGCCATTAAAAGTTAAAGTCATTTGTTGCATGAAATTGATAACTAATATACATGCCATCACACACATGTTTCCTCTTTCTTCTACTCATTTAACAAATATTTATCGATTATCTACTAAATGCTACCTTTTCTAGGTGTTGGGAAATAAGATGAAACAGATGTTCTCCTTCCTGACATCCTAGTAGAGGAGACCAGTGTAACCTAATTTATTCATAATTTAAAAATTTTTTGTAAGAATACTTATAAATGATCAACCATGTTAGGGGCACGAGAAGAAGCTGAAGGTGGGGCTGAGATTTAAAAATTATAATAGTGATGGAAGTAAAACAGATGAAAAGCCTCCTGATGGATGGGAAGCAGACAACTTTGTGGAAAGTGGTGAGGGCAAGGTACTTGTGCTAAGATTTTAGTGCAGGAAAGAGTAGAGTGTTCCAGAACTGTAATAAGACCTTAGAAGAAAGGGCAGAGTGAAAAAAGTGGTACTAGAAGTTACTACAAAGAGAGACATGGGGCTAGATCATGCAAGGCTTTATACATTATGGAGAAGAGTTGTGATGCTACCCTAACAGCAATGGAAATGACTGTGAAGAATTTTAAGGAGGACAGCATAGTAAAATGTATGTGCTAAAGAGTTACTCGTACTTCCAAGTGAAGAGTGGCTTGGATAGGGCAAGAGTAGGTATGGGGAGATCATTGCAATGGTTGTGGGAATCCAGGCAAAAAATGCTTGTGGCATGTTCTAGATGGGTGAATGTAGAGGTGAAATGCAGTGGATAGGTTTAACATACACATACTGTTACCGATCTGCTCACAGCAACACTCACAGACTGTTATTTGAGAATCACCTCTGACTTTATTTCCTCCAGAAAACTGCTCCAGATCCCTAAAGTGCGCTAAACCAAAATCAGTCATGTAATTCAACCTAACATTTAATAAAATTATTCTTCTGTAATCCCAGTACTCTGGAAGACAGAGGCAGGAAGATTCCAAGTGTGACCTCACATGGGCAATTTAGTGACTTCACAAAAACTTGCCTCAAAATAAAAAATAATAAAGGGCTAGGCATGTAGCATAGTGTGAAAGCTCTGGATTCAGTCATCTATACTACAAAAAATTTTTTTCTGTGTGTGTGTGAGTGTCTGGAATTCCCTGATAGCTCTTTCTTCAACAGACTGCCCATTTTTTTTTTTTTCTTTGTACCAGGGATCGAATTCGTGTCCTTGAGCTTGAGCAGCAGGCAGTGAAACTACTGAGCCAAATCCCCGGCCCCTAGACTGCCCATTTTGGGCAGATAGCAACAGTTATATCTTCAGCATCAGCATTGTTGCCTTGTGTTGAGAACATGGTAGGTATTCGGCAAATATTTATAAGCAAATTTGAGACACTTTGTATTCATCTTCACTGATACCAAAGACAGCATTCATTCTTCAGAAGAAAACCTGCTTCTGTTCATCAGATTAGTTAAATACCGTTCCAGTACTGAATCGTGCAAACCCTGTGTTCAGGTTTTCTTTTCTTGTCTTTTTATTTTTTTAGTTTCTGTTCCTTGACAAATGTAGAGAATCACATCCATGTTTCTTTAATGTGTTAGTCACATTCTTGATAAACATTCATAAGCAGCATAGAGTTAAATAGTTTGAATGTAAACTTGACTTTGGTCAAGAGCAGGCATGTATTTGTTTATTGAATCCCATGTAAGGAAAATCAATCTCTCTCTCTCTCTCTCTCTCTCTCTCTCTCTCTCTCCCTCTCTCTCTCTCTCTTTACTTTCTCCTTTTTTAGGTTTTTTAATCTACCCTCTCTAAAGTAGCTTCTGTGCCATATTTTTGGTCCTGACAAACAAAACCACCTTTTAATTAGATTTAAGTCCACTAAGAGTACAGCCATTAAAACACCAATTTTATACTGCATAAGAAAATCAGTAAAAACATGGAAAGTACTTCCCAATGTTTGCTTACCCTTAACTTTCATTCCTGAAGATGCCGCTCAGGTCTGGGTTATACTGTGAATTCTTTAATTTCCTTGTGCTAATCAGAGTTAATTGTTCCTACCTAATTACATAGATTTCTCACCCTTGAGATACTGGTAGTAAACTTCCAATTTCGGTGAGAGTTATTAAATTAAGAATTTGCCTCATGTTTAGAGAACAACCATTCTACATATCCAACTGGTTCGTACTAAGCAACAGCAAAACGGTAGAAGTACCTCAAGAAAATTTAGACTTGTCAGTGTTCTCAAGTATATTCCATGTAGAATTGCCAAAGGGTTCTAAAGTACATTTTTCAAAATAAAAGTTTGGACAGAGACATATTGTATAATACATTTCACTGGTCAGATAATTTTTTGTTCTTCATTATTAATCCATGAAAAGGAAAATGTGGAACATAATTAGAAATATATCACATTGAACTTTGCTGTTATCAATTATTAACAGAAGTGTGGTAGAGTGGTGATGGAGAGATAAGCCATGTTCAGAGGCACAAATACTTTTCAAAACATTTCTGGAACTAATATAAATGTATGTATGAGATATTTTCATTATTTGCTTTCAAGGAGTCTTGCAGATTAACGACGCCTTCAACAAGGATTTCTTGATAGCAGTCTGTAGATGATGAATCTACAACACATCTCTACCAGCCCTACATTCCTAGGGAATCAGGGGCAAGGCCAGTCTTAAAATATGACACATAGACCAATACTCTCCCCTACAATGCTGCCCATTGGCTCCAAAACCTAGCACATCTACAAATGTAATCATGTCACTCCAGATGTTTTGTTCTTGAGTTAATTTAGTTTTTTCACTATTAATTTTTCTTTCTTTCAGATCTCTAATAAATTCATTCACAGAAACGTATTTATGACTGAAATAAAAATAGTAAATATCTCTTATTAAATCTGAGGAATAGTCAAAACCTTTTCACCAATCGCCTCAGACACGGTGTCATTGTTTATTCCCAAACTACTGAGAAAGAAATAAGAGCTTAGGGCCAGGGACTTAGCTCAGTGGCACCGCGCCTGCCTCATAAGTGCAAGGTCCTGAGTGCCAAAAGATCCCCAGTACCAAAAAAAAAAAAAAGAAAGAAAGAAAAGAAACAAGAGCTTAGAGAGGTTACAATAACCTAGCAAAATTGTATAGTTAGTGCATGAGAAAGTTAGGGTTTGAAACCTGCACTCACGTGATCACCACTCTAGGAAAGATAACTGTGAGATAAAGTAATTGTTACATCAGCAGTTAAATTAATGGAAATTATCTGCAATGACAGAATTTCAGACATTGTGGTAAATGGATGCGGAGAGATTTCTTGGGAAATGATAGACTGGGTGTATTTAAAATCACAGTATTAATGCAATGGCTGCATCTGTTTAAGTAATTTGGAAACAAACACTCTAAGGGGAAATTAAGGTTTAGTAACTTTTACCTTCCTTTCTCCATTCATTTTCTCCTTATCACCACTGTCTAACACAGAGCTTGAATCTTGGACCACTGATCAGCTTTTTTAGCTCAATTGTCTTATTTCCTTTTTAAAAAAATGGAACTACTTGTCAATATTTTCATATAAGTTCATTGCCATAATAAGTCTTACCGCTAGTTTCTTAGGAAAATAGGAAAATCTAGCAATACTAGGCTTGCTTTTTACATTATGGCAACAACAGGTCAGAGATAAATAATGGCTGTGGTTTGTGCTCTTCTCTGTGTACCCCAGAACTTTCCAGGACCATTGGCTTTATTTATAGTATCTGCTTTACAGTACTTCTGCTACACACTCTAGGAAACCTTCTGTAGGCATTTAAGACCTATGAAGATCTATCCTTTTTAATGAATTTTAGGTGAGTTTGGTCCATAGATATAAAATCTTAGTCAAAGGGATGTGTCTCAAACAGCAATTCTATAGTTTAGTGGTCTTTTTACAGAATGCTTATAGCAATGATTCTCAGCCTCTACCATTCAGCTGAAGCAATTGGCAGGCTTGCTCTGATACCTGTTGTGGTCCTTGACTCTGTAGGTCTGGGGTCGGACCAGAATCTCCACATCTAACATTGTTTCAGAGGATTCCCACACTGTTCATTCAAGGACCACACTTTCTGAGCTGCTTCTTCAGGGAAAACGTCCTTGTGGATTGAATCATGGTAAAATCAATATTCTGATTTCTACCACTTTTATTTTTTCTGTATAACTTGCTTCTTAACTTCTCTTGAAGGTATTTTTTTTATTTTACACACATGCACACACACACACACATTTATACCTATGTTATTTTTCTGGAATTTCTGTGAGGCATGTGTCATTAGCTATTCATCACCACAGCTGGATGGTCCTGAGACTCCTGACATATTTTTCTGCATTACTTCTATGATATTTGCCCTCTGAAATGTTCTGTGTTATGGTGATCACCAATTTGTGATTGTTGTCCAGATGATTTTGTGCTGTCATCCATCCCTCTGAGATTCGAAAACTAAGGGCTTTTCTACTTCCAGCAAATCACAGCTCATATCCTTATCTCCTTCTAATCTATTTATATTTTGCAGATGGCTGCAGTTATCCAGAAGAGTCACACTTTGAAATCTGGAGAAACTGAATGTAAGAAATAAATAGTTGGCAATTCTTTTTCTACTGGCTATTTCCATTGTGTATATACTTTCCCCTATACATTGCTTCTTGTATTTTTAACTATCATTTTAAAGCTACTTTTCCCTGATATATAGCTTATTCTTCAAACCACCCTTTAAATAAATTGTGACATACACCATGTGCCTTCAGATCTTTCTCAGTTCAGCTCAGTTGGAGGGGTGGCAGGATAACAGGACTGGAATTCATTGAGGAGCAATAAGCCTGGTGTGAATTAGGCTTTCAGCTAAAGCAATGAACAATGGACAGACATCTGTGGGGCCAGGATCATTAATGTTGATTTCCTGTTTTCCTGCTTTGCACAAAGGATGTAAACACTCCTTTCCCACCACTGACATTTTAAGCCCTCATTATATTTAGTAGGTGATCAAGCACAAAAGAGGAAGACAAAGGGAGAACCACAGAGAACATTCATGAAAAACTTCATTTAACAGGAATTCTTAATGAGATGAAGATGTGCAATGGCCAATAAGAAGGTATGTCAGCATTGGGATTTTTGAAGGTAGCAGTCATTCCTTTGGTATTCTCTTTTTGATCAATAACGTCTTTTCAGGAATAGTTGTGCATATGGTACAGTAGGAGTACCTGCTTTAGAAAACCTGGGAAACACAGTGCAAATATACATTAATCAGAGACATGGACTGAAGGATGGTATTTATTAAGCATCTATCACAAAGTTATAGTTGATCAAAGTAACTTCAATTTCTATTTAATTATAAAGGTATATGTTCTTGTAAGAAACACATTATGTATCCATTAAATTTTATGAAGCAGAAGATTTGGGTTTTGATTGTTCATTTTCAAAAATGATTCTGAGTACAAAAATATTCCTATAAATAGAGAGTTCAACCTAGTGCATTCACATTTTTATTTATAGATCATTAGCTGTTTGACTAAGAAGTGGGGACATGGCAGAGACATGAAGCTAAAATCATTATGATTTCAAAATGAAGATAAAAAAATCTCTGAAATCATAGAGGAAGTTTCTTGTGGTTTATAATTTAGGTTACAAAGGTTAATTTATATGACGATTTGTAGATATACCTTACTGGTATATCTGGATCAGGCAAAACGTAACGAGTTGGAAAGTAGGAAACTATTTAATGTGGTATCATTTTCCAGTGGGCAATGGAGGCATAACGTTTTTCTCTAAGTTTTCTCCCTGTGATGCCATTCCATCATTTGCTAAATAAGCATATGTTTTACTTTTAGTAATGTGCACTTATATTTCCAGACATTATTAGCTTCATTTTACCTACACTGGAAAAAAAGCCCTGGATGCCTACACTTCCTTTCTCACAGTCTATTTGAAAACAGAACAAGATAAATCTAGGAGTTGGTTTCAAGATAGGATAAGACTTCTTCTAATATGGTCTTGGTAATAGTTTCCTTTTCACAAGTTTCCAATAATAAAAATTTAGGGGTAGGAGGGTGAAGGAACAAATGATTTCTACTTAAAGGCTTCTTTGATCTCTTTCATCCAATGAAACAATCACTGAAGAGAATGGTAAAATGATTCTAAGGACTGTGGAGGTCCTCTGTCTTATTTTAAGTAATCATAAAATCAGGGCAAATGAGGATAAAAGGGAACAAAACTCGTGGCCCATCTACTTCTGGCTTTGAGTTAGCAAATCTATTTCAAAGCTATGGCTCTCCTCACTTGAGAATCTTCCTTTTATTTCCCTTTTCATTTTCTTTTTAAACAAAACTCTGTGAGGAAGTGCAATTATTCTTTAAGAACCTAGTCTGAACTCTCAATTTTTGGTCATTAATATAGTTGGTGCTGTGGTAACCCAAAAAGCAAAAAGTGGAGTGTTTCTCAAATTGAGACAAATGAATTTTCTTCCACGACATTTGGAAATGTTCTCTCATTCTCTCTCTCTCTCTCTCTCTCTCCCCTCTCCCCTCTCTCTGCCTCCTCCCTCTCTCTGCCTCCCCCCTCTCTCTGCCTCCCCCCTCTCTCTGCCTCCCCCCTCTCTCTGCCTCCCTCTCTTTCTTTCTCTCTCTTTCTCTCTGTATATGAAAAATTTGTTAAAGAGTAGTCTAGTGGTTTTCATTTTTCTGATGTACGTGTTTCCATTAATTTAGGAAAGTTAGTTGGGAGACGTTAGTTGCAGTAGATTCAGAATCTTTAGCTTTATTTAAAGTTGAGAGAGGAGTCCAAAGCTTTGCATACCTTTTATTCTATAGTTTCAGGAGTACCAGTTATCTCCACATGTCTGTTTAGTTAAATGGCACTTGTAACATGTTTGTTTTTCTGACATGCTTCACTAGCTCACCTAAGCTCTCTGCAGCATAGACTTGTTTTCAAAATACAGAGAATTAAAATGAGACTAACACAATTCATGCAAAAAAAAATTGTGCACAACGTGGAGTGTAATGGTCTGGATGTAGATATCTCCCCAAAGCTTCAAGCACTTTGGGAGGTGACTAGATTATGGGGACTATAACTGGGTGTTAGGAGGTAGAGTCTGTTTGGAAGAGGTAGGTCATTGGGAGCATGACCTGGAAGAGTTTATCTTCTTCCTGGATCCTCCCTTTGTTCTCTCTGCTTCCTGCCTGCCATGGTATAAGCAACTCTCCTCTGTCATGCCCCTCTGCCATGTTGTCCTGCCTTGGAGGCAATCAACTATGGACTGAAACTTCAATAAACTGTGAGCCAAAATAAACCTTTCCTCCTTTAAACTGGGGGTGTTAGGTATTGTGTCTCTGCAATGGGAAAGTGACTAAGACTATTAGTATCTACAAAAAGAAACAAGTTCTTTCTTAACCTATTCTGTAGATGAGAATAGAACACCAGTTTGTATCACTACCTACACTGACCTTGCTTCTTTTGTTTGTGAAGAGTTAAGAGTGTATTTTGGCTGGGTGACCCATTCTAACCAATTCTGTTGTAAAACTAAAAATTCTCAAAGTATAACTTTGGAGTGCAATTGAAAACCAGTCTTCTCTGAAATCAAAGTGTAAAAATTAGGATTAGGATGGAGAGCTCTTTCTGCTTAATCTAAGAAACTGTGTCAAGGAAATGGAGTCCCAGGAGATGATGTGACTTGCTAGAAACTTCCCTCAGGAAATTTTTCTGTGCTGTGATTTCTGCTTTGGGCTTTAGCGAAATTCTAACAAAGATAACCACACAAGAGACAACCCACAAAGCTTTTACCTAGAAAATAAGTCTGATTTCATGCTTGTTAAGTGGTTAAGACCCAGCTGCACAGATGCAGAGCTCTGTTCCAGGCAGATTGTCTACATGTTGAAGAGTCTGTCTTTGTGCATGAGATAGTTGGTCACTCGAATTTGAAACAAATACTGTGAACATAATAAGTGCAACCCATTATATCTATAAATAGCCTCATCATACTCAATAGGTACACTTCATTCCTGTTATTGTTTCTACTGCAACCAGTACTGCCTGTGCCATATTGAAGTGTTCTGTGGGCCTTTTGAAACAATCAGAACATTGGTCTCTAACAAATACCACTCTTTTTAGCCTTGCATTCAGCATCTGAAAAAGTATTAAGTAGTGTATACTAAAGAAACAGACTTGTTTGCTATTATATTTGTTGATTTCTAAGTTATTTAAACCTAAAATATTAGTTTCCCTAACAACCCATTGGAGGGCTTTGTAAAGGATTTAACCATTTTTGAATCTACTTAAACATTCACTCATTATTAGTTTTTAAATACTATGAATGTGTAAATTCATCCTAAATTAAATGAAATACAACTTTTTTCCCCAAATGCAACTTTATCAAGTTGAAGATGGCAATCTTTTTTTTTTTTTTGCATAAATAGCTTCCTTTTCCTTTTTCTAAAATATAATCTATCTTTTAAAATGTTTTAAATTATCTATTTTACTTGTAATGAATCTACATCCACATTCTTCTGAGCCTAAAGGGAGTCACAAAAGACAAGACATTCTTCTTGCAAAGTTTAGCTCACTCTCTCTGATGTACCTTCATTATTTCTATTTAAGCCACTTTGTTTTCATTCTTAGGAAATGCTTTGAAAAGTTAAAATCCTCCAACCCCTATAATTTTGGCTTACTTTGTCAGAACACTGAATAGGACGTGTGAAGGTGAATGCACTTTTTTCCTTGTTTCTTTTCTTTTCAAAACATATATTCTGTCCCTACTTTTATCTATTCAATTTTTGTGTACTGGGTGATATAAACAGTTTACATGAGACTTTATTCTAGTATACCCTTACACTTTGTTAGTCTCTTCCTTTTCTCTTTTATATCCTTACCACTCTTCTGCTTTTATTTCTCTTTTCTTTGATTCCAAAAAAAATAAATGCCACCACACTGTACCTAAATGTTTCTCCTTGTTGCCATAATTTCTAACCCAGATAGAAGGGTTTCAATATATGAATGGTTTCTTGAGTGAATATATGGGAAAAAGAATAAAGAGTCAATTATTTATACATTGCCTTTTTGTGTTAAAAATTGCATAAAACTTAGTTTAAAATTTTACCATTTGATTTTGTACAAAGACAGTGCCTCTTGTGTTTAATTCAGAAATAGAGTAATACTAATTATTGTTATTTTGAATCTTATTTATATGACTTAATAATTTCACTAATCTAATATATTTTAGTAGAGATATAGACCTAGTAGCACTGTATCCATTAAAAGTACAGGGGACATGTGATTTCATTTTGGTAGGGAAAGTTTATTCTAAGCAAAAGCTGACAGCAACCATTTAGGAGTCATTGACAATCCTGTAATAATTTCTGAACTCAATGGTGGAAATTTGAAGATAAAACTGAGATATGAGACACTGAAATGGGTATCTTTAAGAAATCCTATGGAGCTCATGAAGAAAAAGATAATTCTATTAAAAACAGTATTTTGCCTTGTTAAATGTTTTAAAAATGCATAATAGAAAAGTGCCATATGACTACTGTAGTTATGAACCTGAATGAGTAAAGAAAATAGTTAATGAGAATTAGAATTGCAATAATTGCAAATTAGAATTGCAAAATATTAGCTTCAAAAGACCAAGAGCTGAAATGTAGTGAATCAGTCTGTGGAAGGAAAAAAAAAAATCTCTCTTGGTTAAAGAATAGTCCCAGGGAATTTATGTTTGCACAAATCTGGAGCAAGGGTTGCTGTAATGTATGTTTCATTCCTGCTCTGGGCCATGGATGAGAAGTGGCATAAGACAGTGAGTACAGAAAACATTTCCAAAGTCTTGTAAGAGATTAACAGATAGCTGTTATAAGGAGTATCTCTATTTAAACCAATCCCAACTAATGAATTGCTGTTGGAGACTAAGGCATTGTGTTAGATATCCACATTAGCTTTGGGTTATATAACACTTCACACTTTTCAGTGTGCCTCAGTGGACTCCTATATTTGCCCAAGAAACAGAAAGGAAGTTGTCATATGTCAGATGAAAAAAGTCTGAAACTCAGAGAGGATTATGTGACTTCTCGTGGTTATACACTGTTATGGACCAATGCTTTTACCAAAATTTTAGGTTTTATCCACTGATTTTCTACCAACATCCTTGTCTTAGAGTGGGGATTACTGTGCACAGATTTAAACTCAAGGACCATAGATGAGAGAGATAAAAGTTAAATAAGGGGCACTACTTTAAAATTACTAGGTATGGGGAAGCTTTAGTTTTTTTTTTGTTTTTGTTTGTTTGTTTTGTTTTGTTTTTGGTACCAGGGATCGAACTCGGGTCCTTGTGCTTGCGCAGCAGGCGGCAAAACCACTGAGCTAAATCCCTGGCCAGGCTTTAGTTTTTAAATCATGTTGACAAATGATGGTCTATGAGCTAGACTTAGCCCTGAGGCAAATAAAGTTTTATTGGAACACAGTTACACCTATGTGTTTATGAATTATCCCTGGTTGCTTCTAAGCTACAACATCAGAAGTTGTAGCTGTGGTACAAATCATATAGCTTCAGTGCATAAAGTATCTACCATTGTAGAAGTTCTCTAAGCCATTGCAGAAGAAATTTCTCAGCCTTTCATTCAAATAACTTTCTAAATAGTGTTTCATTCCTTTGAGCATATTTTATCAGTTAATATTTACATTTAAGGAAGAATATTTCAATTTTCATGCTGCAAGTTCATAGGAAAAATGTTTTCTGACTTAATGGATGGAATCTTTGAGGTTCTTGTTCTGGTAAGTATTATGAATATGCATGATTTATGGTTGTAAGGAGCAAAGTAACTCCTAATGACCAGCTTTTAAAACTCAAACTGACAGAAAGTCAACATCTTAGTCTGCTTTGTGATGCTGTGACAGAATACCACAGACTGAGTAGTTTATGAATAAATTTTGTGTTCATGGTATAAAATTTATTTTTCATAGTTGTGGAGGCTGGAAGTACAATATTAAGATATTGGCCTCCTTAATGCCTCTGCAAGACAGAAGGCAGAGGGGCGAGAGAGGGTGAGAGTAAAGCAAGAGGCAGAATTTGTAACCTCAGCCCTTTTGTAGTTAGCATTAACCCATTCATGAGTGTGGAGCCCGCAGAACACCTTCTGTTAGGCCCTCTCTCAATGCTGTTCACATTGGGGATTTATTTTACAACAGGCTCTTTTAGGGACACAGTCAAAACCATAACAAGTGTCAAATATCACACGAATAGAATTAATAGAATCTGTCATCAAACTTGAACATGTCATCTACTGGATGGCTATAAATTATAAAATAATTTCTTATGCATTTGTGTATGTGTGTGTTGAGTTCCTTAAGGACACAGCACACCATCTGGCCTGCCAGCATGTGGAACTTCTGTCCAGTTGATTGCCATTGTGGAATTTCATCTTCCTGTTTTATGTGAATTAGATAGTCTTATGGATAGTATAAAGCAGAGGAGCCTTGCACTCGTATTTGATTATGGCTAACACTCCAATTGTCATTTTTAAAGTACTTAAGCATCAGTTTATTGGTTAGTTTAATTTGCATGTATAACTTTTACCTCCTTAAGGACAATGACTCCTTGATATTTTTGTATTCTTTAGTAGCATCTGCTTAGAGATCATTACTCTAGAGAGTTTTCTGTGAAAACAGAGAGCAACTCTAGTTTAGAATGTTCAGATGGAAACATTCTGTTCTTTGCTTGCTCTGTCAACCTTTGTGGACAGTCAAAGGTTTTCCTACATTTCAACAACAGTTCTTTTTTTTTCTGCCATAAAAAAAGTGCTGAAATACTTTGGTCCTTTCTTGATCTAGACCAATGAAGATGCTAGTTTACCCTAATTAGTCTGTAACTTTTTATGTGAGAGAATAATTCTTCTGCCCTATCACAGTCATTAAACTATAACAGGTAAGATTCTGTTACATGAACGAGAGCCACAGAGACAATTTGATGAACAGGAAAAGTTGGCCTTCTGGTTTTTTTTTTAACCTCTTCTTTCTTTTGATAGCATTTCCTTCCAATCCTAACTCCAACTTCAGAGCTTGTATGCTGCCTATATGTACTTTCTTTTCTAGAGAAATATTTCTTTGGAAATCTTAATAAAAACAGTGTTAGTAAAATAACAAATAATTTTCTAAGAATTTTTAAACGAACTCATAAATCTTAGTACATTCCTATTAAAATTAGATAAACAAGGACCAGGGATTTAGCTCAGTGGTTCCTGCCTCACAAGCTCAAGGACCCAAGTTTGATCCCCAGTACCAATAAATAAATAAATAAATAAATAAAATTAGATAAACATATCATTCCTCAAAAGCTTATTATAAAGTTATGGATTAGTGAGGAAATATCTTGGTAACTGCTAAATAGCCAATGGTTAGAATATTTTGGGAAAGAACATTCCTGGTTCCCTGTAAATCATATGACCATAGTGATTCCTTATGCTTGAATGAAAATCATTCCATGTCTGAGTGGTGGATAAAAAGATAGAAAGACCCAAATAAAGCAAACTGGAAGAGGCTGTGGCCTGGTGTCTATACTATAACAAAGAGTCAGAATACTGATTAAATGTACTCACATCAAAGTAGATTTACCAGAGAATAGCATTGAATCTCAATACCATGGAATGTCACTGATCAAGTAATTTTCAAGTATACCCATAGATGCCAGATACTTTCTAAATTCTAAGCAGACAAGTTGTTTCCTAGGATCCTGGAGTTCTATTCAGACCAGGGAAGATGAGAAAGTAACAAAATATAAAGTCAACAGGTTCATTCAGATAGATTTGCCATAAGGGTATAACAGGTCCATTGCCCCTGATCACAGACTGGCACTCTGATTTAATTCATTTGCTTTATATGAGTAAACGAGGATCCACAGATGAGGGTTGTCAACCAGAGAGGAAAAAACATGAGAGGGTGGAGGCAAAGATTTATGTCCATATTAATTTAATGAGTTAAGGAGATGATTTTTAAGAAATGTATAATAGTAATACATGCCCATGTATTACTAAGTATTAATATTACTATTACTAATTAGTAATTAACTAATAATTAATATTAATAAGTAGAGAGAATTTTAAACTACAAGTAAGTATAAAAGTACTCACATAAATCATTTCACTACTCAGGGAAACTGACTATATTATAATGCATAAACATCTATTACTATCTGTCCATGTGCTTAAAAAATTTGTGTAAGTTAGTTGTATGTTCACGTGTGCATGTATTTAAATTAACTGTTGTCATCTCCTTGCAAAGAGTAGTATTAACTTCTGGCAATTAACACCATTGTGTATGTCTGACTTACTGGATGGTACCCTGCTAGGTGTTCTAGCACAGAATAGCGCTCTGATGCTGTTTGAGTGAGTTTTGGATTTTATTATTGACAGTCTTCGTTCATCACGCAGGGAGACTTCCTACTACAGAAGGACCTAATCAGAGTCATGAAAGGAGAAATGGAGAAGAAAAGTCTATACACATACATTTGCTGCCTAGTAAGCCATGCAGAAACTTGGCAACATTAAAGAAGCATTTGTTGTTCACACGGGTTCTATGCATCGGAATTTAGACAAAGCTGAGTGGAGAAGGGTTGGCTCTGCACCTTGATATCTGGGACCTCAAATGAAGAAACAAGCAGATTTGGGGAACTTGACAACTGGGGTTTAGCATCTGTAAACACAAATGCATTCACAGTTTTGTGACCAGTGAAGACTTGGTGACCAAAGAAGAGTCAGCCGAGATTGTGGACCAGAGCACATGCATGTGGCTTTTTCATGTAACCCGAGCTTCTGCACAGTAGGGCAGTTTGGGGGCAGTTGGATTATCACACAGAGATTAATGTTTCCGAAAATAAATAATTTTGCAAACAGCACAGGAGCAGCAGTGCTTTGTATCACCTAAGCTCAAAAGTCACAAGCAACACTTCCTCTACACTCCACTGATAGAGGTAGACATAAGTAGCCCAGACCCAAGGGGAGAAAGCAGCATAATTGCCATCTTTTAGTAAAATGAGTATCTAAATGTTGTGATGAAGCCTGTAATCCCTGACACACAAAATTTAGCTCAAACATTGAGAAAATAAATCAAGCCTTTTAGTTGTTTTTGTTCATTTTTGTTTTTTTTTCTAGCCAAAAATTATCTTACATGATTTGAACATTATAGAAAGAAAGAAGACAAATATTTCCCTTGATGCTGTAGCTAAGAAGAACCTAAAACACTAAAAACAGATTATGCCAAGACTAGTTAAAAATAGAATCTTTTTGCTGACTCATTTTATATGGAGAAAAAATGTAGCTTACAAAAATACCGAGGGATTCCAGAGGGGAGTCAGGGAGCCATAGCTAGAGAAGTTGGCAGGTTGTCAAAGGTTAGGGGACTGCAGGAATACAGTGGAGTAATCTTCTGGGAGTGTTCATATCCACACATATCACTGGGGCAACTAACTCATCTCCACCTGAGATGACCCAGAACAAAACTGTAACTTGCTCTCATTTTTGATGCTATATTTAAATGAAAAATCTCAAAATTTCAGGTAGTTGGGTCTTGACTCTTCCAATTTCTGATAGCCAAGGTAACATCTTTTCTTCCCAAGAACAATATGCCTTTCTGAAACATAAATCTGCAATTAATCCTACAAAGCCACTCATGATGATGCACTGTTTGGCATTATAAACTTCTGTTTTCCTGCAGGTGCCAGATACAGAGCGCTCTAGGTAATCATAATGACACTTTGGAATATTTCCTTCTCCACTGAGTTTTGTTTCCTTTTCTTTTCTTCATCTTTCTATAATGGGAAAGAGGAGATAAGGAAAGAAAATCATTCTCACAGCTGGGGTATATAATAGAAACCCACATAATTTTTAAAATATCTTGTTATGGCTCAGGTTAGTGATAGTTTTCTGCACTTCATGGTCGCATGAAATTTTTAGGAGATAATTCTCTGATGTCATGTATTTGAAACCAGAAAACTACTTGCTATATTACAGACAATTGGTGATGAAACTTATAGAAAGCACTCCTGCTGAATTCACCATGTGGGTTCTTACCTGGCATAGAATTGTGCATAACTGGCCACTTCTAGTAAGTATAAACGAGTTGTCCCAGATTAAACTTTTGCCTACTATGCAAGTCAATTAATCTTTACTTGCCACTATTGGAAGGGACAGAACTGGGGTGATTTTACCTGAAGGAATTATTTGGGCTTATGGCTCATTAGAAAGTGGAGTTTCTTCTGAGATATGAGCAAATAAAAATTGCAATTGGAAAAATAACATGCTCTCATATCGAGGGGAGAGGAGAAGGAAGGTATGATTATTATACATCATTCAGGTGGATGCTTTTATTGTATTGGGTGGTTGGTTAATACTGTGTGACCAACAGCAAAGTTGAACTTTAAATATTTAATTGTGCAGGAAGCAAAATAAAATCTAGATAAAACTGTATTTTTAGACATGGTGTGTGTTCATACAAACCGATTTGGCTTAGTTCAGTTCATCACTGCCCAGTATTCATTCACCTGAGCACAGTCTTCTTGGTTGGAAGGCTCTCTGATGTACAAGAATAAACTGAAAATGCATGTTACAGGCTCAGAAAATATCTGCCATCTTAATTTCTGAAGACCAAGCATGGAAACAATACCAACAATTTCATGGTGATTGTTTGTGGTTGAAGTTGGGAAGAAATTACCTCTGTAAGATTTTCCTTATCTTTTCCGATAACAAGTACCTACCATGTGCCACTGCTTGCATTCAGTGATTTAATGATATTGTCCCCTGTAATTAACACCACACCCACTGGAGGAAAACAGAGACTCAGAATACCCTTAAGGTCACACAATTAATGTGTAGCAAAGCTGAGCTTGAGTCCAAAGCTCTTTAAGTCAGGAGTTCCTTAAATATACATGTCCACTCCTATTAGTCTGTTGGGATTTCACCTTTTTAAAAAGGGTCTCTTGGTCTCGTCCAGCCTATATTGACTCTTCCTTCTTCATGCCTGTGTAGATGGGCCTGTACCTTTCATTCATCACACTTCATATGCTCCTGAATATCTTGCCTGATTAATTCTTTAAACTTTTGTTTGCAGAAAATTTAAAACTTATGGAAAGTTCAGAGAATAATACAAAAAACACCACTGCACCAAATTCTCAGAGTTGACAGTTACTTATACTTTGTCATGCAGTGTTTTTTTTCTTCTTAAAAAATAAAGTTCTGTGATAATAGATAAAGTTGAAGGTCTCCTTATGCTTGAACTTCAGTTCCACTCTTCTTTCCATTCCCAGAGGCAGTCATTACCCTAAATTGACATATTTTGAATTTAAACTTTTATTTAATATTTATTACTCCATAAATAATACACAGTATTATATACATTTACGTTTTTTCATAGGTTCCCCCATGCTATGTATTTGCTATAATTTGCTTTTTTAAACTTACTATTAGAGATATGCTGTTATTAATATATAACAACATAGTTCCTTCCTTTTAACTGATAGGATCCTATCACATGAATATAAATACTTAATTTATTCATTTTTCTAATGATACTCATTTAGGTTTTTTTCAATTTTTGGTTGCATAGAATATGCTTCCACATGTTTGCTTATTCTAACTTGCGAACATTTCTCTAGAGTGTAAACCTAAAAATGGAATTGCTGGGATGTAGGGTAAGATTTTCAGCCTTACCAGATCTTGCCAAGCTGTCCTCTAAAGCATTCATATCAATTTATATTCCTCCCAGCAGTGTAATGTGAGAGTGTTCATTTTTCCCACAAGCTAGTCAGTACTTGAGTTGCCTAATGCTGGCTGTCCTTAATGAGAGTATTTATTTCCACAGTCAGTTGCCAGTCTCTGAAGGGAGGCATACTGTACTTGGACTTGTTGGTGTCCTTAAGGCCCTACATGTGGCTAATCTACTCTGCTTATGAAATTTATGGATTAACTGGTTGACTTATGTTCATTACAAAAAGATTCCCTCATGGTCTGCTGAAATATGTAAACAACATCCGTATCTCTTTGAATAGAATTGCTCATATTGTTTCAGGATAATGTAAATGAGTCAATGTGAAAAAAAAATACCCTACAAAATAGGATGTGAATTATTTGCATCAGAGCCAGAAATGAGATAATTCATAGGCTGTTACAACCAAATTAGGAACATTTAAACATCAGAACTAATTAGGGCAAAAGTTGAGCACATATATGCAAGGAATTTGTAGGGGTACTTCTTCATTTAGATCAGCTACATCTGATGGTATTAAAATAGAGGCAGTCTTCCTGCTTCTGTCATACCTCACCCCTCACGGTATTATCCATTTTTAATTGTTCTTTCTCTTTTTAGTTTATTCAAGTCCTCCCTCTCACCTAACCTTCCCCATCAGTATGTAAAAATGTCTTAGCAATCTCTTAAAAATATTTCCTTCATTTCTACATCTCTACCTTCAGCTCTTCTACGTCTATCACAGCTTTCTTTTTTTAAAAAATTAAGTTTATTGGTACATTTTAGGTATACAATATGATGACATTCATCACTGGAAATTTGTACCTTACACGATGCATCTTTATTCTTATTTTTCCCCATTCTCTTGCCCTCCCTTCAACCCCTCCACCCCTCATTATTTATAAAGACTTTGTGTCCATTTTTTCCTTTTCTCATATTTTTTCCTTTCCCTTTTTTCCTTTCCCCTACCACTTCCCTTTTCAACTTTTTCTTCCTATTTCACATTATCAATTATACATTTTGATACTTATTTACACTTTCAGTTTCTTACACCAGAGAAACTATTCAGTATTTACATATGTGTGTTCTATTTATTTCACTTAAGAGCGTGGCCTCAATGTGCATCCATTTAGCTATAAATGTCTCTAGTTTCTCATTCTTTTTGCCTGAGTAGTACTCTATTTTATAAAAAAACCCAACAACACATTTTCTTTATCCAGTCTCCAGTTGATGGGCAATTGGGCTGTTTCCAAGTTTTAGCTGTTACAAACTGTGCAGCTATAAACATGGGTGTGCATCTATTTCACCATGCACTAAACTAAAATCAAAGTGGATCAAAGATCTAAGTATTAAAACAGAAACACTGAACTTGCTGAAAGGTTAGGTAGAACTCTTGACGACATTGGTATAGGAAAAGGGTTTATGAACAAATCCTCAGCAGCATGGGAACTAGCATAAAGAATCAAGAACTGGGATCTCATCTTATTAAAAAGCTTTTGCACTGCAAAAGAAACCACCAACAGAGCTAAGAGATAACCTACAACGTGGGAAAAAATTTTACCAGCTGTACCTCAGACAAAGGACTACTACCTAGAATATATAAAGAACAAAAATTCAGACTGCCAAATTTAAAGACGCAATTCAAAAATTGGCATCTGAAATAAATAGACATCTTTCAGACAAAGAAGTCAAAGCAGCAAATAAACATATGAAAAAATGTTCAACATCACTGGTCATTCCAACACTGAGATTCCACCTCACCCCATAAAGAATGGCTGCTCTCAAGAAATCAACCAATAACAAATGCTGGTGGGTTGTAGGGAGAAAGGAACCTTTCTCCATTGTTGGTGGGAGTGCAGACTGGTGCAACCACTGTGCAAATCAATATGGAAGTACCTCAGAAAACTAGGAGTAGAGGTTCCATTTGACCTAGCTATATCCTTGCTGGATATCTTTCATGGCTTTCTAACAAACTTTCCTAGTTCTAAGTGATATGAGTTGAGTTGTGTGTGCATATATGTGTGTTTGTGCATATCTTATTAATGTGGAAAATAAAAATAGTATCTCACTTAAAATTGTGTTAATTTGGATATCAGTGAGTTGGAAAT